CCACCGCTCCTAGCTCGATTTGACGCTTAGGGCGTCGCGACCCTGCGAGCTGGCAACGACTGCGGGACCCGACTGTCCCCATCGGAGCGTGGGTGCCCCGGAGTTGCCCTTCTGCGCGTCGCACCGCCCCTCCTCCGGGCTCTCAGGGACCTCCCACTCTGGGTCCTAGAGCAGCCGAGCTGTGAGTGCAGGGAGGGCGGGGAGAGGGCTGGTGTAAAAAGTTGGAGGGCATGGTGCTCGGCCAAGGATGCCAGCCTGCCCGCCTGCTTCTTAGCTGCCTGGTCTCCCGGAGAGATTTCCCCCAGGCATAATCTCCTGTGAGTAGATTACAGTCTCCAGAATCCAATCGGCAGGTGGTCAGGGGAGACGTGAAGAGTCGATACTTAAAGTGAGCCACCTTCTTAAATGGCACTGGGATTTCATACTCGTCGGAACAAGTGGACCTCAGACTTCTCCCCCCCCCCCCCACACACATTTTTATTGCTGCGTTTTCCGATGGACAGACTCCATGCAGATGCCGTCTTTTTTAAAGGTCAAGGCATATATGTACATATATTTTTTGGTCAACCTTTTAATCTGCCCAGTCTCACCCCGGATGAATGACTTTCATGACTTAAACGTTAGTCCTAGAGTGGTTTTCATTTCCCTTGTTGTGGGTATGAGATTCCCCCCCCCCCCCCCCACTTTCCAACGAGTGTTATGTCTGATACCGACCTGTTCTTTGGCCTGCCAATGAATTTGGCTTATTAAATGGACTAGGAGGGTGAGAAAAGAGAAGACATTCTATCAAAGTAATGATGGTAGGAGGGAGGTGCTTTTTCTTTTGTAGCTTCTCCAAATTTTCAAAGGTGGTTATGTTATTTTTACAATGCAAAAAACAAGTGGTTCTGGGCTAGTGACTGTTAAAAGGCAAAAAACAAAACAAACAAATTTGACAGATGTATATCGTGTCCCCAAACATTGTGCATTGTAAAAATGCAGTATGGAAATATATTCTTTCTTACTTTGTGGTCTTAGCCGATCAACCCTTCTCTGGGCTTCATCGTCCTCCAAATATATATTTCTTCAAAAATATACTTTTATCTCAGATGGTGGTTTTGAGTATTAAAAAGATAACAGAAATATAAATGCTTGGCACATAATAGGTGTTCAAGAAATAACGTCCTGTCTTCTTTTGCCCTGAAGTTTTCATTTACGAACAAAAGTGACCTAATATCTAAATGTAGTGGTTCTTTAACTTCTGGCCCCGAATGCACTGACAGGGAGAAGGCGTTCTTCACTATGCCTGGGTGTTGTCACTTACTTTGACAACAGATGAAAGCTAATTTGCTCATAGCCAGGATATAACATTTTTTTTCCCCTTGGAGATAAGTAGAGATACTATGTTCCAGAAAACTTTCATGAACATTTAATTTTTTCAGTTTGGAGTTGATATTTTCTGCCTCTAGGTTGAGCTCTTGAAACATTTTGATAAAAACTGGAAAACACATGAGTTATGGGGCAGATTAAGGATCCAATTTTTTCAGTAAACTTAGATAGATCATTCTTCACCAAAAAAAAAAAAAAAATCAGCTAAGCAAATAGTTATCTTTCTTACGTAGAGTTGATATGATGGCTCATTTTATTATTATTATTGAGATGAAATAGAAGTCATGAAACCCACAATCTGGAAAATACCAGTCATGAAAATGTCAACCTTAGAAAAACAAAAATTTCACAAGGTTGAATGTGCTGTTTTGGTGCTTTACCAGCTGAAACTACTCTCAAGAGTACAGTCAAGGGATTAGCATATAGTTGTTCCACTTGTTTTCAGAAGTTAGTCTCTTCATTTTATTATGAGAATGACAAGCTTTAAAAATGGCATTGATTTTCTTAAGGTTACTTAAGATACCTGTATGCAAGAAGAGAGTTTTGGGTAATTTCTTACTAGTTTTAATTCCATACTGGCTTTTGGAACTGTAGTGGGGAAATGATTTAAAAGATAGGGGTGAGATACAGTGAATACAGCACTATTCTGATTGATTCAGGATGCCTTTAATATATTTTCTTACGAGCAGCTTTTAAAAGCATATAGAAAATCCCTGATTTATAACTCACCGGAAGTTTTTGGAATAAATATTGATGGTCTAAAGCCATGTTTGAAAGTTAGATGTTAATGTGTGTCTTTTTTTTTTCATCTGCAGTTTCTGTACAGCACTACCTCTGCAACGAACAATTTAATGCATTTGAATCCCGCAAAATATTTTTTTGATATAAAATCACTACAAAAATATGTATTAGTTATTTATAGTGATTTTTGTGAATTTATGTCTAGATCTTAATAACATTATTATAAAAAATTACAACTATGCCTTTGCATCCAGAATTAGTAAATTATCTAAAGAGCATTTAGATTTAATAGACTAAGTTACATTACATAAACATCATTATAACAATACAAAAAGTCACAAATTCAACCACCAGAACTGTAACTTTTATTTGCTAATAGATATTTTAATAAACAGGCTTACTCCATCTGTAAGACCCTGATAATGCCTCTTAGGAAAATCATAGAAAAATAAAATACAATAATTAGTAATTTGTACCTTGTACAAAAATCTTATTATGTTGCTCAGCAGTTAGTTTTGCTAAACACCATATTCTTTCAGCAAATAGATGACATATGTTATGCAATTCACCACAAACAACTCCTCATATCGAGAGCTGAGCATTCTATAACACTATTAACTTGTAAGCATGCCAGCACATGAAAATTTACATGGAACATCATAATAGTACAGTAGATTTTTGTAAGATGAAAACAATACCACCTTCAAATAAGTCTGGACTACTTCACTGCTGTAGTAAAGTAGTCAATAGGTAGGATTGCAGTACAATTGTTAACACCCTTTGCTCTGTTTATCTCTCTACCATATTGTGATGACAACTGGAAAGAGAACATAGGCTGTGTAAAGAACCTGAGTGGAGGCATATATTGAAGCTCTAAATGATGACATAGTACCAAAGAGAAAAAAAACACAGTGCTGCACTTCCTTTTCTCATAAAAAGATCTTTTCCCCTTTTATATGAGTAGATGGGCACAGTGCTAAATCCTTTATGATAAGTAGCTTTATGACAAGTTACAAAGGTACTTTTTAAAAAAATCATATTTATACTTATAGGAAGGGAAAATATTTTCAGCTGCAATTTTTTATTAGTCAAATATAGCTCTATAATGAATTAAATGTCTCAACCTAGACAGATGTTATCTAGGTATTTTACATAAATATGCTATTTAGTATGAAATTAATAAACTTCAGGATTTGTGCTACAAAGATTCTTACAACTATGAGTGCACTGCAATTGTCAACATCATCTACCATTTAAAATTTGATGTTGCCATTTAAATATTTAAAGTGTCAAATACATATTTATATGTACGCATATGTTTATATTTTTGGCTATGCTAGAACAGCAGAAAAATGGAGAGCAATCTTATTCCATTGTTCACAATCTAACATCACATCAAATCCAGAGAATAACTATGCATTTTTTAATTCCAACACATAGAATTACATACAACCCGGAGATACACATACATATCCAGAAATAAAGCTCCAAGCTCACTTAAAAGATCACATTCTTTCTATAGGACAAGGAGGGGCACAATAAACAGAACAACTATATTTCCCATGTGTTTTCCCTAAATGACAGAAGGTACTGATGTTTTTCATATGAAAACAAAATAATATGTACTGAAAGACTAGTTCCTGATTGTCTTTTTTTTTTTTTTAATTTAGATGGGAGCTCAATACCCTCCAAAATAGTGCTTGAGAAAAGTGACAGATACAATACACATCTTTCAGGATTAATTTAATTTTAATTTTCATAGGTCTTGAAGTATAACAGACTAACTATAAAATGTTTCTGCCTTTTAATCTGTAATAGATAAAAATAAACAAGAAAACATGAGTAGTATCTATGGCATCGAGAAGTCCTCACTTAATCTCTACATTATGGAAAAGAGGACTCATCAGAGTCCTACAACCGCATAGTATTCAGAGGTCAGATCTTCTGTAAGGTGTCTCACAAATATTTAATGAAGATGCCTTTAACATATTTTAAACAATAGATTTTTTGCTATTATGTATTACATATACACAAATACCCTTTGACTATGTGTGTATCTATATATACATGTATAAATGTGTATATATATATATATGTATATATATATATATACTCCTATATATGTTCACTTTCCCACTCTGCAATTACTCACACATCTCTCATTCAACTTATACTCCCTTCCCACCCCTCATATTGACTTCTATCTGATTCTCTGTAAAATAAAACTACTCACATAGTGACATCCTTACCTTTCTACCACAAATCTACCAACCTATCTGCATATTACACACTCTGCCTTCCCTCTCATTGGAGTTCTATCACCCTGCTTCTATCAAAAACTAACCTACTTGTGCTCTGAATCCTAACTTATAATTTTCCTCCACAACTTATAATTTTCCTCTCTCTTGCATAATCAATTTTTCCCTGTCAAATCATTCTCCTTAGTATATCAATGTACTCTAGCATCTTTTATCTAAAATACAAATAAAAAACCTGTCTGGACTCCATATCTTTTTCCAGCTACTGCCTTATTTCTCTTGATGTTTTTACAACAGAACTTCTTGAAAAAGTTGTTTATAGATACTGGCTCCACCTTCTTTCTGTACATCTCTTCTTTTTTAAGAGAC